AAGTGCTGGGACTATAGGCGTGAGCCACTGTGCCCGGCCTGAAATTCTTACATATGAATCTAACAAAATTATGCAGAATCTGTATGTTGAAGACTACAAAACATGAATGAAAATCAAATATATTTCTGTACATGGATAAGAAGATGAGATATCAAGATGTGAAAATTAATCTACAGAATCAGTGTGGTTCCAGTAAAAATTCCAACACAATTATAAATATCTGCAAACTGACATTTAAATTTACAAGGAAAGGCAAAAGAAAAAGAACAGCCAAAACAATGTTGTAAAGGAACCAAGCTGGAGGATTCACTCTACCTGATTTAAAGACTTACCATAAAGCTACCCAAATCAAGACAGTGTAGTCTTGGTGCAAGAATGGACACATAAACCAAAGGAACAGAACAGAATCCACGAATACATTTTTCTTTTACAAACATCTTTCTAATAAATGGAAAACATATCTGTCTTTCCAAAAGATGGTGTGAGACCCACTGGGTATCTCAATGAGAAAAAAAATGCACTACTTCCACCACACTGCACACTTTATATAAAAATAGCCTCAAAATCCATCAACAACTTAAATGGAAAACCTAAAACTATAAAACCTTTAGAAGAAAATGTGAAATGATCTTAGCCATGACAACTCAAGCACAGTCTATGGAAGAAAAACGGAAACAATGGACTTCGTTAAAATTAAAAGCCTTTGTTACACAAAAGGCACTGTTAAGAAAATAACAAGGCTAGTGTGGTAGCTCATGCCTCTAATCCCAACATTTTGGGAGGCCGAGGTGGGCAGATCACTTGAGCTCAGGACTCAAGACCAGCCTAGGCAACATGGTGAAACCCTGCCTCTACGAAAAGAAAAAAATTAGCAAGCAGTGCTGATGAGAGCCTATAGTTCTAGCTACTCGGGAGGCTGAGGCTGGAAGATTGCCTGAGCCCAGGAAATCAAGGTTGTGGTGAGCTGAGATGGTGCCATTACACTCCAGCCTGGGTGACCAGAGTGAGACCCTGTCAAAGAAAGAAAAGAAAAAAGAAAAGAAGGAAAATGATAAGCCAAGCAAAGCCACAGTTGTGACAAGTTATTTGCAAATCACGAATCTAACAAAGAACTTGTGTCTAGAATACATGTATTTTTAAAATCTCAGGTTTCAACAATAAGAAAAGAGACTGATAAAAAATGAGCACAAGATCTGAACAGACGCTTCACCACCGAAGATCTACAGATGGGAAATAAGCACATGAAGAGATGTTCAATCCTACTCGCCATCAGGAAATGCAAATCAAAACCACGCTGAGATATGCTCCATACCTATAGGATTGGTTAAAATGAGGAAAACCTGACACTGTCGAGTGCAGGTAAGGATGTGGAACTGCTGATACTCTCATACACTGCTGTTGAGGATTCCAAAATGGTATAGCCTCTTTGAAAAACAGTCTGGCAATTTCTTAAACATTAAACACATACCTGCCAAATGACCCAGTCTTTCTACTCCTATTTACTCAAGAGGAATGAAAACTATGGTCATACAAAAACCTGTATGCAAATGTTTATGGAAGCTTTATTCACAATTGCCAAAAGCTGGAAATTCAAATGTCCTTCAATGGGTGCATGCATAAACAAGCTATGGTATATCTGAACACTGGAATACTACTGGCCATAAAAAGAACAACAAAATGGATGAACTGCAAATGCGTTATGCTAAATGAAAGCAGCCACAATCGAAAGACTACACGCTGCATGCTTCCATTTACAATGACACTCTAGAAAAGGCAAAATTATGAACACAAAGCACACATCAGCTGTTGCCATGGTTAGGACTAGGGGAATGGGCAGCACGAGGGAACCTGGGGAGGTGACGGAACTGTTCTGTACCATGAAATGTGGTGGTGGTTGCAAGACTGCAGTGGTAGCTATTAAAACTCAGAACCGCACACCTTAGAGTGAATTTACTGTACATGAGTTTAAAAATCCTGAACTCTCTTTTTTTTTTTAATAGAAATTATGAGCAGAGCCAGGCAATGGTGGCATGCATCTGTAATCCCAGCTACTCAGGAGGCTGAGGTGGGAGGATCGCCTGAGTCCAGGAAGTCAAGGCTGCAATGAGCTATGATAGTGCCACTGCACTCTAGCCTGGGTGACAGAGTGAGACCCTGTCTCCAAAATAAAAAAATAAAAAAATATATAAATAAAACACAGGTATTATGCACCTACATATCAAAAACTTTTATCATCTAAAAAGTAGACTTGAACAGAACAATGAGTCTAGACACTGCATACTAAAGCATTTCAAACTCTGCATTTACTAGGAGTAGATTAAGCAGAAACAAAGCCTCGTGCCTTGGAAAGATGACAATCCACCTCCTGGCTGGAAAGCCAGCATGAACCTGGGATATGACGAACTCCCCATTATGGCCAGGTGAGTTACACCCAGAGTTCATTACCCAATCACTGGTTGAAATTCAGCGATTCTTGTTTTATTAAAAAATTCTTCTTGTCAAAATTTTTCTGACATAGCTGGTTTATCTCTAAGCTTATGACTTCAGATGTAATTCTATGCTTGGTAGGATTTTCAGACCAAGTTGCAGAGAATTAAAAAAAAAGGAGGAACTTTTGTTTCCCTGTTTTCAATGAACCTTACTAAGGTTTTCATTAAGTATGTAAATATATCAGTTTGGTACCAGGAATAAAACCATATTCATTCAATATTAATTCCATAAAGAACAATAATATCAAAACAAAGAAATCTTAACTGTACATTTTTCATGGAGGAATTATTGGGTCCACAGTAATGTCAAAGCATCATCTACCAATCATTCCTTTTTTTTTCTCCCGTAGTGAAGTTAGAGGGAGTTCTTATATAATCACGACCTGTAGGCACCACAGGCAGGAGAAACAAGTGAGAGGGGAATAGAGCCCTTCTGTGCTCTTTGGCTTCCTTGGCTCACATCCCAGTCAGTGAATCAAAGCTCAACTTCTTTACACCGAGGGGCTGCTGCTTTCTTGCTTTTCTATGGCATTCCCCTGGCTGCATGCCTGAACTTATTTTTTTTTTTAAACAAAACTTAGTATGAAAGGAGAACCATGACTCTCTGAAGCTTTAAAAAAAGCACTGAATTATCCAATTCAGAATAAACAATGTATTAAAATCTGAAAGATTGAGAATTTCCTACAATCCTGAAATAGGCCATTAATCCATGTATTTAAACACTATAAAGCACACACTGTGCTAAGTTGATAAAGGAGAGTACAAAATTCAAGGAAACAGACTATAATTTTAAAAGGCAGAACTGAAGTTTTCATGGAAAGAAAGCTGTGTTTTTAAAAAGAAAGCTGATGGAAAGCAGTAAGGATGACAAAAGGAGGTACAGGGAGTGTCTGAGCTGGGTTAGAAGTAGGAGTGCAGTCAGAACCTCTGGGCAGAAGGCAGCAGCAGCCACGGCCCCAGCACCATGAGGGACCACTCGAGTGTCACCTAGGGGATTGTGGGGATGTGTTTCTCTACTCAGCAGTGCAGCCTCATTTTCCATTTTGCTATGACAATTTGAAACTTTTGAAAAGTTTTCCAAAAACATCAAAATCAAAAACAAAACTTTCCATCTCCACAAAACACTTCAGAGAAAAATAAACATAAAACAAAGTAAAATACAGAGTAATGTTTTAAGGAGAGTAATTTACTCATTGTATGAAAACTAATTCTAGGGAAAGATTAGTCAGTCCACATGTTAACATGAACACTGTAAGCTGTGGGATCAGATTCAAATTCCTTTTTCGGCAAGAGAGAGGGGAACCTGTTTAATGTCTCTGGATCTCCTTTTCCTCATCTGTAAAGTGAAGATAGATGTCTGTGAGGACAGACGAGAAGCACTCGGGAAGTGTCCAGGCACATGTGGGGCGAACCCCACGCAGTGCTGACATGTCTCCATCTGGCATCACTACCTGGCTGTGAAGTTGCAGGCCCTCTCTGAACCGTTTATCTCGACTCTTGCCAGTGCAGTGAGAATTCCACCGCCTCTGGTCTTCCCTGACCTTTGGGGAAAGAACCCTTCCTTTACCCCTCCATGTTTCTTCTCCCTGTGTTCAGGTGAGCCTCTTCACATCTCTTACAGGCCTCTCTGGCTCTGATCTTTTAAGACCTCCTCTCACTATCGGTCCACTCTTTTCTATTTTCACTAATTCACGAATGTGAACATTTTCTTGCAATATACTAAAACTCTGCTTAACGTTTAAGTCTGTTTCTTCACAACCTTTATTTTAACACACGCATGCTGAGTCCCTGAGTGGCTACACAGAGTACCAGAGTCTACCGGCTGGAGATTAAAAACAAAAACAATTCCCAGACACAGAAACAAACCCTTTCTACTGAATACCCACAAAGTGCTCTAGTAACAACATGGGTTACTTACCAAAAGATTGGGGTCGGGGGGGGGAATGTGGCACTTTTAAAAAATAAGAAAAGGGCGAGGGTAATAACCTAAGTAGAAAATAGGGCAGCTTCTTCCTTCGTTAACACTTAGCAGCCTCGTGGCTTCTCCGGCCAGCTCACTCATCTAATGAAATGATGCAGCTCATCTGTATAACCTATTTGCAGTATGTGGGTCATATGTTTTTATTTCCTTTTTAGGCTATTTGAATGATTCATTTCTACTTTTTCAGGTGTCCCTTTTCACATATTTTAAATGTGAAATCTTTAAATATTTTAAATATTTCTTTTATACGAAAGGGTGCTGCCATGAAGACAATGACTCTGCTGGAATTTAAGACACATACAAAGACCTCTGATGTGCACATTAAATGTTCCTGTTAGATGTTTAGGCAACTTCCAGATATATGTACTAAATGTTACGGTTCTCTCTTCATAGCTGAATTTAGTTACTGTTTCCAACTCCTACATCCTGCTGCTCTATAGGATGTGAAACGCTATCACTGACTTACAGGAGGATAATCTAGCTGGAGTCTTTTTATTTGTCATCCTGAGTTTAGCATTAAACACACTCACCTGTGACTTGTTTGTCTGGAAGCGAAGGGATTGGAATGGCTGACCCAAACTTAACCAGGAGACGCTCATATAACCAGTCAAAGTGCTTATATCGGTGGTTTACAGATCGATTAGTGTTCTACAAAATGAGGGGAAGAGAAAAGGTTATCAATGCCAACTCCGGAACATGAAGAAAACAGCAAGCTGCAATCAGTGATGCAAACATGATTTTGCTTTTGATAACGTGGACACTTACAGTAGGTGTCAGCTGATATTCAATGTAGCTCTTCAGACCATACATTTTGGAGCCTTTCCTGGGATCTGCTACCACACAGTCAAATGTAGAGGTAGGATAAACCCACATTGGGCCATAATCTCCAACCTATGCAACGTTCCAGAAAAAAGTAATTTTGTTACATGGAAAAATAAAAACAATAAATACAAGTGATGTACATCAGCAAGTAATTCTTTTCAGAATGACAAGGCCTTTGGGGGGCCATTCTTGTTCCTCTTTGAGAAGTAACAAACGGTTCAACGGTTTCTGTTCCTATTAGATATTATGTTTAAAGAACACGCCTGTGGGACAACCCCTCTGCTCCCATGTGGGTAGCTCAGCCCATGGAGAAGAGATACCAGCTTCCCTCCCCCGAGGAGAGTGCTGGTTACAACACAATGTCTCTTTGTCTCTTTCTAGTCTAGCTGTCTCAAGCTACATGTGATGAAGAACTACTTTTTAAAATTTTCCAATCTATCACAAACTAATAGTTTGGTGAAACATTACACGTTGTGATTACTGAACAGTACCAAATTGCCCTCAAGTTTTCTAAGTACTCTCGTGTCTGTACCCATCTCACGGCGGATCAGGAACAAGCAGTTTTCAGATGGACAACTGGTCTCTGCACCATACTTTGAGTAGCACTGTTTTGGCTCACAGAAGTGATTCATCAGACTGGCCAGAGCCTGAGAGCCATTGTTTTACTACTAGTATGGGAGGGGGCGGTGGGGGCATGCGGAGGTACTACGTCTCAAAGCAAGAACCAGGCGAGCTGTTTTTTCCACGGACTGCTGTGCCTATGCACAGCTGTCTGGCTCACTTCCAACCCCAGGTATCACGCCCACCTGGGCAAGGCTTGCCCGAAGAGGGGAGGCCTCCATTCCTTTCCCACTGGCCTTCTCTCCTATCTGTGACAAGGGCCAAAGTTCAAAAATTCAGGCGAGGCTACCACTAGTTAGCTGGGGTTTTAGCTGCGGTGGGAGGTGAGGAAGGGAAACCAGCCGAGTTCCAAATGGGGATGTAGACACCTTGTGTGTAAGTTTTGAGCCTGAGGATCACTTCTGCTAGGCATTGCTAGGTGACAACAGGTCTGCTGTCGCAAACCTGGTTTTTTTCATCTTATTTAAAACAACATCCAAGGCCATGGGGGCAGCTGCAGAGGAATCTGGATGCTGGAGCTCATGTACAGCTCCTGGAGTCACTCCCTGGGTCACCAACAGTTAAGCTGTTTGCCGGCACATTCATTTCAGAAGCTTTGATCACAATGACAGATTGATTCTAGAGATTCAGACTGGAGGACAGCAGATCTTACCGAAGCACATTTCAGAGCAACAGAAGTCCTTATTATACTGAGAATGCTACCTATTTTCTTGGCTTGAAAATGAAAAATAATTGAATCATAATCTAGGAATAGAATAAACTGCAAAAGGACCATTATTTCTAGGAAGGGAATTCACTTGGAGATTCAAGGAGAATGAAATAATATGTAGAACAGGTTTTATTCTTGCAGATTTGAAAAAGTACAGCAAGAAGGTAAAAAGAAAATGAGAAAAATCACACAGACTGGGCTGAAGGAAGAGAGATTTGTTTAGGTTGAGACCTCAGAGAGGCAAGGCCAGGCAGACATAAGAAAAAAAAGTGGTCTATATATACACACACATACACACACACATTTTTTTTGATGGAGTCTCACTCTGTTGCCCAGGCTGGAGTGCAGTGGCACAATCTCGGCTCATTGCAACCTCTACTTCCCGTTTTCAAGCAATTCTCTGCCTCAGCCTCCTGAGTAGCTGGAATTACAGGCACCCACCACCATGCCTGGCTAATTTTTCTATTTTCAGTAGAGACAAAGTTTCACCATCTTGGCCAGGCTGGTCTTGAACTCCTGACCTCGTGATCTACCCAGCTCAGTCTCCCAAAGTGCTGGAATTACAGGTGTGAGCCACTGCACCTGGCCATATATATACATATATAAGTGGAAGATGGGAAAAGCGGGTTGGGATATAAAAGTCCAGAGTCTGGAGTCTGTTAGGTCAGAAAAGTGTCCTAGTCCAAGGATAAGAGTAGTTTAAAAAGAGACCAAAAAGAAAAATCTCTGAGAATGACTATAACTCCCTCAGAGAGAGCCCAGATCCAAGAAACTACCAGAAAGCTGCAGAGAAGATGACTTTTGGGAACTCCCTCCATGAGTGGGCCGAGAGCGGCAACTGTGCTGGGCTAGGGCCCAGTTTCATGGGGTTCTGTTTCATGAGTGGGCAAGGTTACTGCACTTTTAGAGCAAAGAGAGTCTCTGCTTTCTCTGGGCCTCCTGAAGACACAGTGGCTTTCCTCAGCTTTTTCCATGTAAGAGGCCCACACAGGCAGACCTGCCTACTACTGGGTCCAGTTCTACCTAAAACTTGCAGGTCAATGAAAGGCTGGGACCCTTAGCTCTGTACCACCACTGCATGCTTGAGACAAAGAATCTGAGGCAGAGCTGTGAGCCCTGGACTTTGCAGAGTTTTAAATGTAATGAAAAGAATTATGGTACATGTTCATTTTTTTTTTAAGTCCAGAGAAAACAGGAAAAAAATCTTTAATATAAGTACTCAGAAGTTAGCTACCCTAAATTTGCTTTGAGGGAAAAAGTATAACAAAGGCTCTTGGTTATACAACTCTTGAGTCTGAAGAGTTTCAAGAATTCAAAGATGTAGGGACAAATAATTAGAGAATCTAACACTCTTCCTGTAATTTTATCAAGTCTCCAAAGATTACAGAGTAAGACCAGATGTTTCCTTATCCTTGACCAAGTCCAGGGTGAGAACACTCAAGGCTTCCCCCTGTTCCCAATCTGATTGTTACAGGGTTAAGTCAACAGGATCAGAAGATAGCTACAGTTCTCTTTTCCAGAGTTTCATTTGGGAATCTACAACTAAATATCACCTAGACAGAAAATCTATCACTGATCAAAATGTGGAGTGAAACCAAAGGGCTTGCGTCACGTTATACGATAACCACATAATTTTAAGACAGGTATTCTTAATGATGTCCTTAACTCCCAGCTTCTATCTGGAAGCTCCTTACCTCAATTTGACAGCTGGTTTACTGGACAAAAAACACTATTACCAATATCCCTGAAAGGGCACCTTATTCTAATAATATACATGTACTTTACGAGGGAAGAAAGGTAAATACTTGACTTGAGTTCATTAAACATAAAGGGCTGGCAGAAAAACATACGTAAAATACACTTCAAGATACTTCAGAAAAAATGATCAAAACAGTATGTATTATGAGTGTTTGTTCAATACTAAAAGTCTGAAAGATAGACAACATAATGACATTAATTTGCGCTAATTATCTTCGATACTACAAAACTAACAGATCTTATCAGTTACTTAGGGCATTAAATATATTTAAAATACTTGCCAAAAGATGAATAACCTACTTAGCTTTAAGGTACAGTATTACGAAAGAGCTGAATCAGAAAGAAAGCAAACAAAATGAATAAACTTACAATGATGGGAATTTTCTCTTTGGGTTTTGCTAGTTGTTTGGCCAACAAATACTGTTCCGTGCCAGGTTTTGCAAATCCAGGAAATCTAATCATGAATATAAATGTTCGTGAGTCTTAAGTCTTTCAAGAATTTTACAACTCCCGTCCACATTTACTTAATTTACCAGTTTTGACCTTGTCCTGTCTTTCAGGTGCTAGGAAACTGTGGTAAAAGAAACCTAAAGTAATCAGATTGTTCAATAGCCAATTAGGCATTTAATTAAGCTTGATCTGGTAAAGAGAACAGTTTGACTCCAGAAGGTATGATGTTAACAGGTGCTCTATTTGCTAGACTGTTACCTGAAACATTCTGTCACCCCAGAGAGTGAAGGGCAGACCTGAAAATATGTCCCCTAGTTCCCTGGGGCAATGAGTAGTGAGCACACCAATCTGAGTTGGCCATAGCGAGCAACAGCCACCTGCTGGCATTTCTACATCCAAATTAAAGTTGCCTTTCAACAAGCTCACTCCAGAGGCCACGACTATCCGAAAGAGGCTGTCCTGATCATCAGCATGTGTGTTTGTTTCTTTTGGAATTGACTGCAGAAGCAGTTTATGACAGCAGAAAACAAGTCTCCTTAGTAAAGATACTCAAAGTATAATCAATAAACTTGGCTAGAGGGTGAGGTGGGGAGGGTAAGGGAGATCACTTAAGACCCCAAAACTTAAATAAACTTGACTATTTCCAGAAATGAAATCTGTATCCAAAGGACATTTCTAAAATTGGAGGACCACTTTGGATTAGTATCCAAGGTGTTACTGAAAAAGACAAGATTAATTTGGGTTTTTGAATTTTTCTTTAAGTAAACAGAAAAAAGGAAGTAAAATATTTACAATTGGAAAAGGAATCTTATTTCTATGAAACTCCAGCTGCACTGCTTCTCCTTTCATTCACGTGTCAAGCCAAAGTCCAGTGTGATGCTCTCAGGGGCCATGTCTTCTTCTCCTGCATTCTTGACTAACTGCCCTCAAGTGTCCTTTCTCTAGACATTCCTTTAAAACACAGCTTATACAAGAGACCAGAGGTGTCCTGGAGCTGGCTGACGTGCGGTTTGAATTCCAACGCCAACACTTAGGTGGCCTTAGGAGCTGCAAACTCCTTGTGGGAAGAATGGGGCCAGAATGGCCTACTTTCTAAGGTGATAAGGGAATTAAAGATTCATGTGAAGAGCCCAGCGTGTACTCAGTACATTTAAGTCATTGGTGATTAAGTCATCCTCTCCTTGGAAGTACTCCCTGCAGCCTCAGGTACAGTCTTCCTCACGCTTCCTCAGCATTTTGAGCATATTTTGTGATTCCATTCATCACACCTGACTGCCACTATCCATTTATACCTGTTTATTACAGCAGCCAGAGTCACTCAGAGGAAACATTGTGTTTTCAGGACCTGGAGGAGTTTGTGGAGCATACTGAATGCTTAATGAATTAACAGGCTGACCTGGAACACTTACTTACTTACTTATTTATTTAGAGATGGAGTCTCTGTCACCCAGGCTGGAGTGCAGTGGTGCCATCTTGGCTCACTGCAACCTGCACCTCCCGGGTTCAAGCTATTCTCCTGCCTCAGCCTTCTAAGTAGCTGGGATTACAGGCGTGCCACCACACCTGGCTAAATTTTTATTTTTTAGGTACAGATTGAGGTTTCACCATGTTGGCCAGGCTGGTCTCCAACTCCTGATCTTGTGATCTGCCTACCTCAGCCTCCCAAAGTGCTGGGATTACAGGCATGAGCCACTGGACCTGGTCCAAGATGAATTCTTACAATGCTCAAGTATATTTAAATCTCAGATCTTCTTTTCTAGTATAAGATTTCTGTTCCATTACTAGAATGCAGCTGTCATATAAAATGGATTAATTGCTGAAAAAGTGCTAATACTTAAAAACATTTTTTATAATTAGGTTTAGGCAGCTCATTTATACATTAGTATAAACACAAATACACAGGGTTTTAAATTGTTCACAGCACTACAGAGACAGATGCCTCAGAGGCACAGGTTCAAGTCAGGACTGCTTTAATGTGGTTTCAACTTGGAATGATACTTTAGAGCAGAAAGAATTCTTAAAACCAACCTCCTTATTTTAGAGACAAAGAAACTGAGGTTCCAACAGGTCATGAAACTTGCCTAAGGTTATGAGCAAATCAGAGAGCAAGTGTGGAGCAGAGGAGTGCACCAAAAACCAGACTCAGAGACCCCCAGGCAGGAGCTGGAACCTCACTCATCAGCCATGAAAACGTGGCCATTCATTTTTCTATTTCCTTCGTTTTAAAAAAGGGGTTGATTTATATGAGTTTTCAGTATCCTTTATATTTACATTTAAAGAACAGCTGACAATGATGCACATCACTACTGACCATTATTGAAAACTTCAGTTTTGACTCTGAAACAAGACACAGTTGACTAACAAAACACAGAATGACTAATTTTATTATGCATACAATTAAGCATGAAAATATATCATGGAAGAAACTGAGTGAGAGGCAGCAAAAGTGTGCAGTCAAAAGAGAACTCATTTAATCACCTGAAGCTATTTCAATTTACTTTGGAAAACTTGTAGAACTGATTACACTAGATCTAGACCTAGATCCTGATGTTTAAATAGATGTTTATTTAGATATCGTTATGTTTTTAATTTTTCCAGACACAGATTAATATTCTTTGATATCTGCTTTGAGTCATGAACTTGGAATATTGGAAAAAAGTATTAGTAATTTTGAAAAATAAACTAAACATAACTACTGGAAGAAGAGCACTTGGAGATTCTGATGGAAGTCATAAATTATTAATATATCTCCTTCAAGCTACACTGGCATAAACTACAGCCTTATTTAGGTCTCTCCAAAGAATCCTACAGTGCTATGTACATGGTCACTGGTGTCCACATGCTTTCCTGTTAAGTAGGGTATCTACAAGTACTGTTAAAAACTTTTTTTCTGGCTAGGTGTAGTGGCTCAAGCCTGTAATCCCAACACTTTGAGAGGCAGAGGCGGGCAAATCACTTGAGGTCAGGAGTTTGAGAGCAGCCTCGCCAGCATGGTGAAACTTTGTCTTTACTAAAAATACAAAAATTAGCTGGGCACAGTAGCACGTGGTTGTAATCCCAGCTACTGGGGTGGATGAGGCACACGAATTGCTTGAACCTGGGAGGTGGAGGTTTAGTGAGCCAAGGTCACACCATGGCCCGGGTGATAGAGTGAGACACTTGTCTCAAAACAAAACCAAACCCAAAACAACAGCACTTTTTTTGTTTTAAATCTAAGAGAGACCTAAGCTAAAACAAAGCTCCTGACCACATTTTTAGGCACAGGAGCTAAGAACACATGCTTTGGTGCCCCCCTGGCTTCCTGACTCAACACTTGGGTGCGTCTCTCTGGGCATCCATTTGTCCGCAGTGAAACGGGTTTTATGCACCCCAAAGGGATATGAGGTTACATGCGAATGCATGCAAACCATTCTGCACAATGCCTGGCACATAGCAAGTGATTAATAAAATAGTAAAACATTTAAAAGAGTTATTTTTTAGCTTTCCTGTGACATTAGCAATGAAACCTTAATATGTCATAAATTGATCAAGGTGTAAGTAATGAAAACAATTTGGGAAATCATTAAATAAAATAAATATTTCTCTTGTAAAACAAAAATCTTTTCTTTTTAAGTAAGCTTCTAAGTTAAAATCCAAATAAAAATAACCAAATCTATCCAAAACTTATAAGATTACTAGAAAGGGGAAAAGCCAGCTGTCTTTGTATGGTACATACTTTGTATTAACCCCTGGTTCCCTGGCTCCCCTTTAAACTTACTTGTTAAGGGGAATTTTCATGGACGAGGCACTAGCACGACTGTTTCCTCGTTGAACGCCACCTGCGTCAGCTGATTCTGAATCCTTAAAGTAGGAAGAGGACTTGGGCCCATCCCAGTCTTCATCCCAGTCATCATCATCCCCAGTTGCTAGAGGTGAAAATGGAAGACTATCAGTTAAAAGAAGACCAAAATAAAAATAAAATTACTTTTCTGATAATAACTACCTACTGGGCAAATCAATATTTTTTCGATGGAGAAAAGGGTATAGTATAGGAGCATAATACAGATGTTAAGAGTAAAGGCTATTAGTCAGCTTTAAGGCTTGAATTACAGATTCTTTTAGTGCAAAAGACAAATGAGAAGCAACTTAAAGAGGGCTGTCAGATTAATTTTTGACAAGGGCACCAAGATGACACAACGGAGAAAGGACAGTCTCTTTGATAAGTGGTTCTGGGAAAACCGGATATCCACATGCAAAAGAATAAAACTGGACCTTTGTCTTACACCACACACAAAAATCAACCTCAAACAGATTCCAGACCTCAATGGAAGACCTGAAACTATAAAACCCCTAGAAGGAAACGGGAAGAGCTCCTCAACACTGGCCTTGGCAACGTTTTTTTGAATATCACACTAAAAGCACAGGAAAAAAACGTCAAAAACAAGCGGGACTACATGAAACGAAAAAGCTTCTGAGCAGCAAAGGAGACAATCAAAATGAAAAGGCAGCCTATGGGCTGGGAGAACATGTTTGTGAACCATGCATGCATCTGATGACATGTTAATATTCAAAATACACAAGGAACTTGCAAAACTCAATAGCAAAAAAAAAAAGCTCAGTTAAAAAATGGACGAAGGACCCAAACTGACATTTTTCCAAAGACCAAAAAAAAAAAAAAAAAACGGCCAAGAGGTCTATGAAAAGGCACCCAACATCACTAATCACTAGGGAAATGGAAATTAAAACCGCAATAAAATATCACGTCCCACCTCTTAGGATGGCTATTTATTTATTTATTTATTTGAGATGAAGTCTCGCTCTGTCACCCAATGGCACAATCTTGGCTCACTACAACTTCCGTCTCCCAGGTTCAAGTGATCTTGTGCCTCAGCTTCCAGAGTAGCTAGGATTACAGGTACCCATCACTATGCCCAGCCACTTTTTGAATTTTTAGTAGAGACAGGGTTTCAACATGTTGCCCCAGGTGGTCTTGAACTCTTGAGCTCAGGTGATCTGGCTGCCTCTGCCTCCCAAAGTGCTAAGATTACAGGCGTGAGCCACCGTGCTCGGCTGAATGGCTATTTAAAAAGTCAAGAGATCACAAGTGTTGGTAAAGGTGTGAAGAAAAAGGAACCCTTGTACACTTTTGACGGAAATGTAAATTGGCATAGCTGTTATGGAAAACAGTAAAAAATAGAACTACCCTATGACCCAGCAACTCCTCTCCTAGATATATATGCAAAAGAAATGAGAGCAGTACCTTGTAGAGATATCTGCATGCTCATTTCCAATGCAGCATTATTTGTAATTGCCAAGATATCGAATCAACCTAAGTGTCTGTCTATGGATGAAGGAATAAAGAAACCATGGTATACACATAAAATGGAATATTATTCAGCCTTAAGAGGAAATCCTGACATTTGTGACATCATGGATAAACCTGAAGGACATCAGGCTAAGTGAAATAAGCCAGACACAGAAAGAAAAATATCAAATGATCTTATTTACATGTAAAACTTTCAACAAGTCTTTAAAAAAATCTTAAAAACTTATAGAAGCAGAGAGTAGAAGGATGGTTACCAGGAGGCAGGAGAGGGGAAACTAGGGAGATGTAGGTCAAAAGTACAAAGCTGCAGTTATGTAGGGCAAGTCTAGAGAGCTAACGTACAGTATGAGGACTACAGTTAATGATCCTGCATTATATGTGGGAAACTTGCTGACAGAGTAGATTTTAGGTGCTCTTCTCTTTCTCTCTCTCTCACACACACACACACAGACACACACACACACACAGGCACTTAGGTAACCATGTGAGGTATCGGATATGTTAAGTGCTTGACTGCAGTAATAATTTCACTATATACATGTATATTTCAACATTACTGTATACCTCAAGTATAGATCATTTTTTTAAAAGGCTGTCAGTCCAGGTAACTTCAGATAAATGCAGACTATAAGAACGTTAAGTGATACACAGGAGAAAAGACTTCTAGAGGCCTATACACTGACAAATCTAGTCTTATAAATTTACGAATAAGCAGAATGCCCTTTAATTCAGGAGGCTTGGGGAGGACAAAAGGGACGACAGTTCTGAGAAAGGCAAATGTTTAACACAAGGAATAAAGGGGAGAGAAGGGCAACGAGGAGGATATTCAAAAGACCGGGTTGGGGTGTGGGAGAAAAGGGAACGAGAAAAAGACCAGAGAGAAGAAGTAATTAAGCAGCATCAGTAGCTACTATTCTGACAATAATCCCTGTGTCAGATAACGTGCTGTCAGCTCTCCTCCTCCTCGATCCTCCCCCACTCTAATGGCATGAGTGTCCTTTAGTGTCAGATCCTAAGAGTGCCACTATGGAGAAGCTGAGAGACAAATGCCAAATGGGAAAAGAACAAACTATGAGAAGGATCTGGGCCAACTGACACAAAGCCGGACGCCAGGAGTCTCTCAATGCTTCCACCCAGCCCACAACCCTGGTCCCGCTGACAGGCAGCTCCTGTCTATGACTGCTAGCCTTGAGCCAGGACCTGCGCCCACTCTGGGTTTACGTGTGAGGTCCTTGCTGTTTAGAACAGACATTTAATAATTTTTGGCCCAATATGCTTACAGAGGAGGCAGGATTCAGGGATCGTACAAAAATCATGGGAGACTATCTTCTTATTTAATTTCAGTACAGACATAAATACCCTTAACTCCCGAATTGTTTCCCATTCCATATACTTCTCTTCAGCCTCAGTATTTCTATTCACAGCCTAGTCAAACAGGAGTTAAAGATCAAACCATGAATGCAATGAACATAACAGCAGGATGAGCTACCTCCCATCCACATACACGTCTCTGGCTCAAGATTTTAAAACAAATGTGTTAGCTGCTGAGATGTTAAAATGAGGTGACAAATAACCAAGACTTGTCATCTCTCTGAAGATGTGGAGATCAGAACATGGGCTCAGCTTCTCTACAAATGCAGAGATCCTCGGGCGACAGCAGGGGCCCTCAGCCTTCTGCAGCCTCCACCACCCGCTTTGCTTTTACTTCACCAAGCAAGCGTTTGAATCTGTGACTCCGCATAGATAAGCGAGACTGAAATAAATTTACGGTTAATGACCATCTACATTTGGATCCATGTTTGCTGTTACTGAATAAGGGCAACTGCAAGCAGTTCTTTTGAATAAAATCTATTTTTGACTCAATGACCCAGAGTGGTACCGTGAGGTAAGAAATAGATATCTGGTCTGTGTCCCCAGTTCCTGGTACAGAGCTCCTAAAACCCTTATAACTTCCTGAATGCCGGATGTGCGAGGTACATATTTTGTTCTGATATTTGGTCTCCGACCCTGGCTCCTGACACAGACCTCCTAACCCTTGGAATTTCTCGAGTGGTAGGGGCATCATCTTTTGTTCTAACAGAGTGACTCTTGGTGGGATAGGGGCTGGTCCCAGAAGGACCAAGCCAGGAATAGAAGCTTGGAATTTCCAGCTCCAGCTCTACCTCCCATTCTCTGGGAAGAAAAGAGGGGCAAGAGGTTGAGTAAATAATCAATCATGCCAGACGGGTGTGGTGGCTCATGCCTGTAATCCCAGCACTTTGGGAGGCTGAGGTGGGTGGATCACCTGAGGTCAGGAGTTCGAGACCAGCCTGGCCAACATGGTGAAATCTCACCTCTACTAAAAATACAATAAACTAGCTAGGTGTGGTGGTGGGTAACTATAATCCCAGTTACTTGGGAGGTTGACGCAAAAGAATCACTTGAACCTGGGAGGCGGAGGTTGCGGTGAGCTGAGATCACGCCACTGCACTCCAGCCTGAACAACCAGAGTGAAACTCCATCTCAAAAACTAAATAAAAAATAAATAATCGAACATGCCTATGTGATGAAGCCACCCTAAACATCCTTGAGCTACAGGGAAAAAGATTCTGGGCAGCTGAATATGTAGGAGTGTGGGTAACCTCCCATATAGGCACCGAGGAATGAGAGCTAAGCAGAACGCTGGCACAGTTAGGGCTTGAGGAATATCTCACTTTATAGTGTTACTACTCAGCTATTTCCTTTTATATAATCCTTTACATAATCATATATTAGTTTATAGAAATAGGGCTTGAAGAATCCCTTTATATAATCCTCTCTATATAATCATATAATAGTTGATAGTATGAGTGCCTAAAGAATATTTCCCTATGTATATACTTATAATTATATCTTAGTTCATAATCGGAGGAATGCCTAGAGTGGACACAGTACAGAGCATGAATTAAGGAATAAGCAGCTTATATTCTGAGGAATGCCTACAGCAGACACAGTGCAGAGCATGACTTAAGGGAAAAACAGTTATACCAGGACAAGAATCCATGGCCCAGGCGGCAGCGTTCAGTATCGTAAAGATACCCGCTGTATGGCAGGCTTGGGGCGAGAGCCACTCCTCCTGATAAAGGAATCCGTAGGACCTTGCTCCAGTTCTTGTGGAAGGCTGCCCTCAGAACGGCAGTCCACCTTGGTGACTGTGAACTTAATCAGCTCTTGCTGCTGTGATGCTTGAAAAACATCTTCCCATAGAACCCATTGGAAGCTGCCAGAAGGTGGCAGTAACCCTGACAGCTCTGTCACTGCTATGTGTCTTAAAGTATCCTCCTATAAATCTTAGAAGTAGTTTGCCCATAGATAGAAGTATTGCACACTGCACCCTATTCACTGCGCACAGCCCACCTTCAAACCTCGGTGACCTAATGGGGATGGACCCCTTACTGCGCACGGCCCTTGCCTTCGTGGGAATGGGCCCCTTGCCATGCACTGTCCACCTCCTGACCTAGGTGACCTAATGGGGGTGGACCCCATGTTTTATTGCTCACGACTGTATCACTATCCTTAAAGATGATTTCATTCACTGCCCTGCCCTGCCCCCTAACCTATACACAATAAATACTCATGCTTCTGGACATTTGGGGCCTCGCCTGACTCTGCTTATAGGTGGTGTGGCCCCCCCGAGCCCAGCCGCATTTTTCCTGTACATCTGTGTCCTGTCTCTTTATTTCTCGGATCCTGCGCCTCAGCACAGCATAAGGCTCACCCCACGACCCTGTGGGGCACTCAGCCTTACATCTGCCTCCCAACGTGCAATACATAGGAGCACCTGGGGTGGGGATCGTGAAAGCTCCACATCCCTTTCCCATGCTTCACCCTATGCATCTCTTCATCTGGCTCTTTATTTGCATCCTGTAAATTTTGCTTTGTAATAAATTAACAGTAGTAAGTAAAGCGTTTCCCTGAGTTTTGTGAGCCGCTCCAGCAAATTAACTGACCCAAGCAGAGGGGCTTGGGAACCCCCAGATCTGACTGCAGGACACCCAGTTGGTGTCCGCTGAGGAGCTGTCTGGTGTGTGGGGCAATCCTCCCCTCCCATGCTGTGGTCACAATGTGTTCTGTGTTGTTCTGAGTGTGGGAACAGCAAAAACAGTTTGGTCTCCCCGTCTCTCCCACTCAGCCACAGGTGGGCGGGGGGGGCCTCACACCCCTCTCCTCACCTGGTCCTTGGTAGGCCTGCGGGTGGCCGAAGGCAGTGTCCCAGTTGTCGGGAGTGTTTGTGTTTCTTTGGGCTCCAGCCCCATCTGGCTTGGCCCCCCAGCCTTCTGAGCTCTCCCAGTTCCCAGATTTGGAGGCACTCCAGGCTGACCAGGGGTCATTGCCACTGCCAACCTATTGAGAGGGGTAAAAAGTAGAAGTTTTGTGACTTCTGGAAACCATGACTCAATTCAATAATGAACTGACACAACTGAATAGGACTGCTAAAAAACTTAATGGAATATATTCGAAACAACTTTAAATACGTAATATTTTCATTTCAAACATGTAGGAAAGCACAGAAAGCAGCAGCAACCTAATGTTACTGATGTGAACACATTTTGCCATATTTGCTTAGGAACTTGGAAAACAGCAACAAAGAAATTATTAGACACAGCTGGAGCCCTCTCCTTCTTCCTCCCCAGAAGGAACTACAGCTTTTCTAAACCTGTATCCATTCCCATGTGTTTTCATACCTCAACTGCACATGTCCACATTCATAAACAACTGTTTTATACTTTTGAAACTGACTTAAAGGATGTCATACTGTATGTATCTCTCTGCAAGTTTTTTTTTCCCCACTCAACATTAGGTGTTTGAAATTATATATGCTGATAATGAAGACCTATTTCATTCACTTCAAGGGCTTTATAGCAATCTGTTTTTCTTAATGCACAGATTTTTATTTAAAATAATTTTTCTTTTTTTATTATTCCTTAAGTTCTGGGGTACATGTGCAGAACATGGTTTGTTACACAGGTATACACGTGCCATAGTGTTTTGCTGCATCCATCACCCCATCATCTACATTAGGTATTTCTCCTAATGCTATCCCTCCACTATCCCGTAACCCTCCGACAGGCCCTGATGTGTGATGTTGCCCTCCCTGTGTCCATGTGTTCTCACTGTTCAACACCCACTATGAGTGAGAACATGTGGTGTTTGGTTTTCTGTTCTTGTCAGTTTGCTGAGAATGGTGGTTTCTTTTTTTTTGAGACGGAGTTTCGCTCTTGTTACCCAGGCTGGAGTGCAATGGTGCGATCTTGGCTCACCGCAACCTCTGCCTCCTGGGTTCAGGCAATTCTCCTGCCTCAGCCTCCTGAGTAGCTGGGACTACAGGCACGCGCCACCATGACCAGCTAATTTTTTGTATCTTTAGTAGAGACAGGGTTTCACCATGTTGACCAGGATGGTCTCGATCTCTTGACCTCGTGATCCACCCGCCTTGGCCTCCCAAAGTGCTGGGATTACAGGCATGAGCCACCGCGCCCGGCCAAGAATGGTGGTTTCTAGCTTTATCCATGTCCCTGCAAAGGACATGAACTCATTCTTTTTTATGGCTACATAGTATTCCATATTGTATTTTTTATGGTTACATAGTATTCCATGTGCCACATTTTCTTTAACCAGTCTATCACTGATGGACACCTGGGTTGGTTCCAACTCTTTGCTATTATGAACAGTGCCACAATAAACATAAGTGTGCATGTGTCTTTATAACAGAATTATTTATAATCCTTTGATTATATACCCAGTAATGGGATTGCTGGGTCAAATGATATTTCTATTCCTAGATCCTTGAGGAATTGCCACACTGTCTTGTCTTCCACAATGATTGAACTAATTTGCACTTTCAAGCAACAGTGTAAAAGTGTCCCTATTTCTCCACAACCTCTCCAGCATCTGTTATCTCCTGATTTTTTGAATGATCCCCATTCTAACTGGTATGAGATGGTTTATTAATGTGGTTTTGATTTGCATTTCTCTAACGACCAGTGATGATGAACTTTTTTTCATGTTTGTTGGCTGCATGAATGTCTTCTGAGAAGTGTCTGTTCATATCCTTCACCCACTTTTTGATGGGGTTGTTTTTTTCTTGTAAATTTGTTTAAGCTCTTTGTAGATTCTGGATATTTTTAAGTAGGTTTTTTGATTTGAAAAACAATACAGGTATAATAAAACAATTCCAACAGAGTAAAAGGATATGCAATTTGACAAATATGCCTAACATCTTGAGATGCTAGGTGACTACTACTGTCAAAAGACACAAAATTACAACAAATTTAGTTACAGATCTACTTGGCTTTTGCTGGAGATTCATGAATCTGGCCAGCCTCTTTCCTACAATCTGGGTTTTTAAAGATGGGAATAAGGAAAGAGAACAATAGCAAAGAGTTAACATCAGTTTATTTTACGTTACATTTTTGTAAGGTTAAAGCAGAGAGGACTCCTTATGCTAACTCAAGTAGACTGGAATCTCCAGTTCTCAAAAAAAAAATCAGTCTGTTTTGGGACCTATCTGCTTCCTTCAAGTTTCAGTTTGATGATGGGGGAATCTAGCACAGATGAGTCTGTTCTGGTTTGGTCTGGTCTGCTGGGCCTAGTGCAGGAACTCTGAAACAATAATTTTGTTTGGCTTACTGTAATTTTTGTTTCATGCTACTAACAATTCCTTGTATATATTTACTCAAACATCCCATGCACAGAGACCCTTTCTGTTTTTAAACACATAAGTGGGCCTAGATTTGATTACTCTGTGCTCAGTACTTTTTTTTTCTCTTAACGGCATAAAACTTTCTCCAAGGTACATCAGCACACATATGGACACAAGATTCTTTTACACTGTCTCCATAAAATTCCATTGTATATATTTCCTACAACTTGCCCAGTATATGCTGATGTTCATTTATCTTGTTTTCAGTCTTTGGGTACGGTAAATAATACAGTATGATCTGAGAGACCAAAACAGACACCCCTTTATCAACTAAGATAGACCCTAAGGCTAGGGAAACAGAGCAACTTCCTATATTACTAGGGCTCTAAAGTCACTCAGAACAGGAGCTATCAGACCCCTCTAACTCTGATTTACAACCCAGACCAGGACAACTTTAACTGGGCAGAGGACCGGTCTACAAACTTTTTTTTTCCTGACAAGCAACTGTAGGCCTTAAAGCCAATTTCAGCAGCTCACTGAGGCTGTGCACAAACGGTGCCCTACAGCTCACCTTTTCGGATAAACAGCCCAGTTCCATCTCATTTTAATGCTAAAATCTCACCTGGAAGTGAACAAGGATGTATGTTACATGTTTATCCACTGCACATGCTCTTGACTCCCCTCATAAACATGTATAGCTTTGCCCCAAACCGCTAAATAGATTCGACTCCAGTCACATCTGTGATACAGGCCCTGTGAGGCATAAAGCCCAATGTGCCCCTTCCTTCTTTGGTACACACCAGAGAAGGTCTCTTCCCAGTCTGCAAACTGTTATTGCCTATAAACCTCTCCTTTCTAAAATCAGCCATTCTGGTGGTTCTTTTGATGAAAGCTGCAATCCAAAAGATCTATGTGAAATTTCCAGAAGAAAAAATGCTAGGCTTAAGGTGACTGTGTATTCAGAATTAATGGCTTTTGTCAAATTGCTTTTCAAGGAGAATGCAGTCACATTCCCACAGTCTGACAACTGTCACGCTGAGGGGTTTTGTCTTACATAGAAAGGGACTTTCATATTTTATTAAAAAATATTTCTTGGCCGGCCGTGGTGGCTCACACCTGTAACCCCAGCACTTGGGGAGGCTGAGGAAGGCAGATCATGAGGTCAAGAGATTGAGACCATCCTGGCTAACATGGCGAAACCCTGTCTCTACTAAAAATATAAAAATTAGCTGGGCATGGTGGTGGACACTTGTAATCCCAGCAGCTACTTGAGAGGCTGAGGCAGGAGAATCGCTTGAGTCCGGGAGGCGGAGATGGCAGTGAGCTGAGATCATGCCACTGCTCTTGAGACTAGCCGAGAGACACTCTGTCTCAAAAAAAAAAAAAAAAAAAAAAGAAAGAAAGAAAGAATACAGGCATCGAGCTGAATGTCTTGTCCTCAGTCTGTCACCCTAATATCATTTCGCAAACAATCCATATTTCCCCCATGATTTGAAATGTCAACTTCATCACATATCAGATCCAGGTCTGTATCTGGACTCTTGTTTCTTAGTGATCTATTTCTACTAGTACCACTCTTTCATAGAAAAACCATCAATACTTCAGCATAACATCTCTTGGCTGCTTATTTTTATGTATAAATTTAAGCATCAGCTTATTAAACTAAAACAATCTGAACTTTCATAGCAGAATGTTGAGTTAAAATACTGATTTTCATTTGATCACTGTTTACTGAATTGGGATAAAATCATTAATGCCTTTCACACCACAATTGCAGTACTGAATCTATTTCGTAACATGAAATAGTAAGTTTTCCCCTTTGAGTCCTATTCTCTCTCTCTCTCTCTCTCTCTCTCTCTAACACACACACACACACACACACACACACACACACACACTGCTGGTTAAAAAGGAAAAACAGATTTGCAAGATAATTACCCACCATGTCTAATATAGCCCCTAATGTTGCAGGACACCCTAGTGGCTGGTTTGTTTCAACTCTTCACCCAGTGCCATGGGGGGCAGACAGCTGGCTGTCTCATGCCGGATGCATCAAAACAGACTATATGCTTTTCATGTGGAAATGTGATGTCATTCTACTGCCCCAAATACCTCTAAGGAAAAAACTGAAGTTACTTGTGATTTTACTTTATGTCAAATACTAACAGGAGAAAGAGGTTTCATCCACAAGACTGTGACTTCTCAAACACACAGCTTACAAGGTGACATTTGGCTTCAGCATGGACTCTCAGATGACCCCAGAGGATGCTGGAAATGAAAGCAATCGTGCTGAGGGCCTGGCAGTCACACTTCAGTTAAGAGAAATCCTTCCTTCTACAGTTCTCTTTACGGGATGTAGTTTTATTCTCCTATTTTATTTAGCAATACATTCTGTGCCCTCCAAACTCTTAAGTTATGAGGTTTTGTTTTTTCAAATAAGAACTTGAAAAAGTACTAAAGTTTGAAACACTAAGGACAGACTCTCACTGGTCCAGCAGCCTCAGGGTATGAAATGGAGGGGCTCAGAGGGAGGGCCACAGTCAGGGGCCCAGTGGGTTGGAACTCTATTAACATCTGCCTCTCTCCAGCTGTGTAACCTCAGGCTAGAGTTCAGAAGTGAGCAGCCTGGATTCAGAAGATAAGAAATAAGAAGCTAAGCGAAGTAAACGGCAAACAAACACAGGGCTGTGAGCTGGAACAGGAAGCGTGATGTTCGCTGGGGCCTTCCGGAAGACGGTTATGTCTTCGCAAACTGGCCAGGAATGGTTTTCATCAAGATGGAGGAAAAAACTGGAGGTAAACTATTCATAGCAACTGTCCTCAAAAAATCAAAATCCATATAATTAGGACAGAAACAAACAATCGTTCTTTGAAAATTACTTGGTTAATAATTTACAGGTGTGTAATAACTGTCAAACTAGTATACGATCTTAGCTCTCTACCTAGGTTATGAAATCCTTGTGGGTATGTTTGTTTCTATCTCTTTGGATTTTTTCTTTTTTCTGGAACATTATCTTGTTTCAACTCAACTCCTGCTGATAATACATTTCTCAAAACCCTACCAACTGGGGATCTTTTCTCCAGCTCTGTCATGGCCCTGGAATTCACTCCCTCAGCAGATGGTCTTTTCCTGCGCCGCAAGTCCCTTCCCCTCCCATCTGTAACCCGTCACAGGCTCTCTCTCTGAACCCATCCTTCCCATACATCGGTCTCTGACTTCTTTGCTCTCAACCCCCAAATCTCCTCGGTAGTTCCCTAACTACAGACATCCGGTCATGGTAAAATTCATGCTACTCCTGGGCTGAGGTTTCCATCCTGTGGCGCCCCTCTGTCCTTTTCTTCCACCTTTCCCTCCTCTTCCCTTCTACTGAGCAGCGTCTTCATCCCCTTTTCTTTCCACCCCTTATTTTGAAAAGCTCTTCCTGACTCACTGTCCATCACGGGTAATTAAAATCCCTTCATTAGTATTCACTGCCCCTGGAATGAACTCCACGCTTCTTGTGGCTCAATCAAGGGTTTCTTCAGTGCAGGTCCCAATTTTGCCGTGTGATCCATTCCCCATTTTCCCTACCTGCTACTAAGCTCCACTCTGAAGCTTCAAACTTCACACATTTCCCTAAACCTTTCTACATCTCTGCTGTTCCTCACACTACACTGGACTCTTACCTGCACAACTCATCTTCCTAAACTTAGCAAAGTCCTCTCCCATCAGAAGGGCTCTGGCCTTCCCACAGCACACCGGCTGACATCCAGTCACCTCCTTTTACTTTCTTCATTATATGCAAATCTGATGGCCAGTCCCCCCCAGGGAGTCAGGGGCTCAGCTCTGTCTTACCTAGAGAACATTTCCCCCAAAAGATTCTCCAAATGCCTTGCATAAAGTGGCAAGCACTCAAATATTTTCAGTGTGATGTTCTTGATCATTTGTATGAAATACATTTTACTCTCTGTTACACCTCTAACCTTCATAACAATCACCAAAAATGAGGAAATGAGATTTGCCTATGTATACTAACGAATCTTTTCTAAAACACTCGCTTGTGGTCACAGAGTAAGTGATTTTCAGCATGTGACTTCAGAAAAAAAGATTTTTGGCCAGGCACAATGGCTCATGCATGTAATCCCAACACTTTGGGAGGCTGAGGCAGGGGGATCACTTGAGGTCAGGGTTTGAGACCAGCCTGGCCAACATGGTGAAGCCCCATCTCTACTAAAAATACAAAAACCAGCTGGGCGTGGTGGTGTGCGCCTGTAATCCCAGCTACTAGGGAGGCTGAAGCAGGAGAATCACTTGAACCCGGGAGGCGGAGGCTGAAGCGAGCCGAAATCATACCACTGCACTCCAGCCTGGGCAACAGAGTGAGACTCCATCTAAAAAAAAAAAAGAGAGAGAAAAAGAATTGTTAGCATGTGACACTGAGTACTCCTAAAATAACAGTGTCTGAGTTCTGAGAGTGAATCAGCTCTCTACAAAAAGTTGGAGGATACAGACAGGCACAGGAGATGGAGGGATAGGGAAAGATGAGAGAAAGCAGGAGCAGAAACATGGGAATGGTTAGAATCTAGAAGGTGATTATCCACTGTGAAATTCATTTAACTTTTCTATGCTTGAAATTTTAGCATAACATTGGGAAATGCAACAAACAAAATTGACATATACAATCACTCTAGTCTGAGCTCCATTAGAAGGACACAGGGAAGGGCTGTGCTCATCAGGCTAACGTGCCACCTGTGAACGTGGGGCCCTGGGTAAACACTTTGTAAACTAAGTATCTGAAAACACTCCCAAAGCACGTTCACTTGGGTCTCTGGGACACATTTAAATCTATGTAATCACCACGGGTAGATGATTATGTCTGACCCTCTTTCTAACCCGTGAACCAACTAAATCAAAATGCTCCTTTAGGGCCAGAGGCAATATACTAACAAATTTGCTGGCTGAACGCTCCAAATTTAAAAGCCATCCTCGCCTCATGATGCAAACAAAGAAATACATTTATTCAGGCTTCATATCAGGAGACTTATTTAAACACGTCCACTCAAAGGATTTACAGCATTAGCTAAATTGCTTCAGAAAGCAGACTGGCTTGACCTTGACTGCAGAAAAGCTGCATGTGGTACAAATATATAACATGGGATGAAAAGGGGCAAGATGAATCCTGGTACACTAGGTGGAGTTTAAATCCCTTCAGGAAGCTGTTGAAATTGAGTGTAGTAATCATTATACCACATGGGTGTAGTGGTTAAGAACTTAGGCTTAAAGCCTGCAATGTGGGTTTGAATCCTGGCTTTATCACTTGCCACTAGCTGTGTGGCCTTGGGCAATCTACTTCGCTCTCTTAGTCACCACACTTACACAATGGGTATAATAACATTATCTTCTGTAAGGACTAAATGACATAATGCATAAGAAGCATCTAACGCAATACCTGGCACACAGTTTGCATTCGGTAGAGGTTATCTTAACATGTGAAGGCCCATCTAAAATATGAAGAAAAAAGACTAGCATTTCTTTAAGTAAATCCCCATCTGATTTACTAATAATCTACCTAGCATATAGGTAATGCATATATGCTAATATATATAGCATATAAATAATATATCTATTAGTTTATGCTACGCAGGAAAAAATCAGTGATATTTACCAACAGCTGCACAGCCAGGTCATATTAATAAAGAGACTTTTAATTGAAGAGATGATAACAGGCTTAAGATACTTTCTATTCCAGCCAACGTTCTGTTCCTTTCAGATACATAAAAGAGGAAGAAGACAGGAATGTTTTTACCTTAAAGGTCAACAACAGGAACTCCTAATTCTTGGGACTTTTACACAAATACTTTCTGCTGCTAAATGCTGAGATCTTGGCTTTTTTTTCAAAACCCAAGTTGTAGTGTAACAAACCTGAATACAATAATCTGGCTGAAGTATCCTTTGGTGTCTGACTTTTCTTTTTTTTTTTTTTTTAAGACAGGCTGGAGTACACTGGCGCAATCTCGGCTCACTGGAACCTCCACCTCCCGGGTTCAAGCGATTCTCCTGCCTCAGCCTCCCAAGTAGCTGGGATTATAGGTGTGCACCACCATGCCCTGCTAATTTTTATATTTTTAGTAGAGACAGCTTTTGCCATGTTGGCCAGGCTGGTCTAGAACTCCTGATCTGCCCCACCTTTGCCTCCCAAAGTGCCGGGATTACAGGTGTGAGCCACTGCACCCAGTGTCTCTGACATTTTTGTTCTTCGTCCCCACAACTCCTTTGTCTCTCAACTTCAGACATTTGGTCCTGCAATAATCCCATTAGCCCCTTCACTCAGGTTTCCAATGCTGAGACACCTCTTCTGTTTCTTTCCTTACATCTTCCCTTCCTCTCTAAGTTCTACAGGACAATGTCTTCACTCTCTTTTTTTCCCTCTCTCTGTGGTACCACTCTCCTCCTGACTCACAGTCATCCACAGAATTAAAGACCTTTCATTAGATCTCACTGCCTGGGGGATAAATCATCAACTGAGCCTTGCTAAGAGGCCTCCACCCTGTAAATCCCCACGATCTCTCCAGTTCCCACATATCCCACATCCCACATCACGATGCCCCAAGAGCAGCTCCTGTAAGATACTTTACCTGACACAATCACTTCGCTTGGGGAAGAAATGATGACTTTTAGGGTTTATTAATGTTAATTTCCTCTTGTGTTCAAGTCTGAAATTTACCTTATTTGTGAAAGAAGGAGAAGAAGGTGGTGACTGGCTGATACTTTCGACACAACCAATCTGAGCCAAAATAGCCACCTTAAAATAAAAAAGGTGCCCAGTGAACAAGAGTGAAAGAGCAGGGCAAAGCTTTTACCTAAAACCAGCACATTCATGGCAGGACCAAATGCTCCAGAAAACCAGCATGCCACTCACTCAAACACTACATGCAAAAAGCCCCAATGATGTAGCAGTGGGTTCTCTTCCATGCATGATGTTTTCTAAAGTCTGTTGCTTGGTATCATAATACAGTATTACTGAAGCCCTAAAAAAAATTATAAGCAGCACAGAAAGAATGGAACAAGTATCATGCAAGTCATACAGCCAGAGAAACAAACTCCAGAGGAAAAAATACAAATAGTCAAGTTTGAAAAAAAGTTACTATTCGGAACCTTTTGCTTTCAGAGGCATTAGACATGTATGTGAGAGAGTCCAGCCAAAATGAGCAAAGTCACCTCATCAACTTGAGGCTAACCACAGAGCCACACGTGAGTCCTACCAATCACAGCTGTGAACAACAGAATAGGCCAGCTGGGCTTTGAACTCAGGAGCAAAAGCCAGTGCCTCCTTGTGTGTGCTCTTAGATGTCTAACTGGCTTACAATACAGCACTTGTGAGAAGAGATAACTGACACACTTCCATGAAGCCAATCCATGGCTAAACTGCAGCAGCTGTGGTAAGAGGACCACTGTGAAGCCCAAATTCCAGGCTTCAAATCCCGTTCCTCAACTCTCCAGCAGGGAAGTCAGTACCAACAACATTTATATAGTGGGTGAAGTGTCCTTTTCAGGGGCAACTGTCTTGTGGAGCAAGTGGGGGTATTATTCTCACCTGATAGATGAAAATAAACTTGGAGCTGAAAATCAGTTAATACACAAAGACAACAAGGATGGAGTAACAGGGACCCAGGTTTATGCTCCGTTTAAAACTAAAAATATGATGAAATACAGGAAATCACATTCGAATCACTGGACACCAGGCAGTGAAGAACAGTGATGCTGAGACATGAGAAACAGACAGAATAAGCCTACAAGGGCTGTCCACTGCCTGGAGAGAGTCTCCAGGCCACGGAGCTGGCATGAACCCACACAAAGCTTGCAGTTTCTGTGGTGGGAGGAGACAGAGTCTGGGGAAGACAGAGATGTACAGAGAAAACTGTGGAGACTGCAGAGGGCACCACAGATCTGCACTGATAAGCCCATCCCATGAGGGAACTACCCAAGGTCCGGAACAGAAACACAGGAAAGAATTAAGAGTGCAATCCCTCACACAGGGCTATTCCACCAGCCTAAATGAAAAAATTCATGATTCATGGGACATTGGGTACAACACTAAGAATGTTTTGTTTCAGGACAGGGGCAAAAATATCCCTAAGCTAAATGTTCCTCTGGGCTCAAAAATAAAACCTGAAAGCATTCGATGGTTTCATAGTAACTTAGGGGATCCCAGAACAAGGCTCAAAAATGTTGACTGGATGCAAAAATATCCAGCATATAGCAAGCTGAAAACTGCAATGTCTGGCACCCAATAAAAACTTATCAGGCATGAAAAGAAGCAAGGAAAATATGACCCATAATGAAGACAAAAATTAAGCTGACCCAGTAATGACAGAGATGAAAGAATTAGCGCTATGTAAGAGCAAGAGAGGTTTCAAATATTAACGAGGTCGAAGAATCAGCTTGAATGGGTTTCCGAAAGGTGAGGACTTTAGGCACAAAGAAAACAACCGAAACACATTATTAAATCAATGTAAATCCACGGGTCCATGCTCCTGTCAGAAAAAAGGAAGACAGGAATGCCCATTGGTCACTATTTGTAGCAGCTATAAAACAGCTTCTTTGAAACCTGGCAATTAAGGAGAGATGGAATTAGCCATCTATCCTGAATTCCAAACTGGAATTCGACATAATTAACTAGCTCCAGCTCATACAGGAAAGTGCTACCGTCTAGATGAAACTAGCTCAGTGAGTGTGACCGGAATAACATTACTGATTCTGGCAAGGATTACCAACTGGTGGTAAACCATTACCATTTATATACAGTTTATATCTGTGTGTGTATGTGTACACCCATGTTCAAACACAGAAAATAAGATAGACACCTAGTGTAAAGAGTAGTGACTGTGTTGGTGTGGAAATGTGATACTTTTGTGTGCTAGTCTGAATTTTCTACAATGCATATGTACTGCTTCTGTAACAAAGGTTACTTTATCAATTGTTTTTAAAGATAATAAGAATGCTTATTAGCAACTGCTGACCACAAAAATAGTTGTTTCTGTTTGTTACATTTTTCGATTTTGTTGTATTCTGCTCCTCATATGACATCTTGGGGTACCTGGACCAGTAAGAAGCAAATCCCTACTTCTGACCACAAAAAAAATGCTGGCTTGTTTGGATGACATGGTTAGACCTGACTCAGTTCACTGGTTTCCTGGTAAGCAGCTAAGAAGGCCTAAGAGGAACAGCTCTCACTGCACAGACCATGAGGACAGCAACTGTGGAGTGGCAGAGATGGGTGACAGCACCAAAACTTCTCTGTGTCCACTGCAACTACATCAGGTCTCGCAGGTGGGCTAGGTTTGAGAATTAATGAAAATGGTAACTTACATTTAATTAAAGTTGCTTTCTGTCTGGCTTTCTACCAACTGTGTACAAAGGGTATTCGAAAGCTCAAAACATACTGTGAGCGGTCACAGCTCTTATGGCCCACTTGATTCCTTCCAGCAGATACCAAAAGTCCACTACAGGTCAGTAAAGATTATCCCATATGATAAGTCCAACAGTTAAGAGGAGCTTCCAATCACAGGCTAACTACCTTCTATGTTATTATCTTGCGGCAGCGGGGGGCAGGGGGTGGGTACCTGTCAGCATTCAGGGGTCCACGTATCACCACATAATAAACTCCTCACTGTGCCTGTCACATCCTTCCACACCACCTGTGATGATGTCACCTGGCCTATCATGCCATGGCCCATCATATGACTATACCACGTACAACTGTGTTAGGAGATAGGAATAGAAAGGAAATAATATCTGATTCTTAAACAGGAGAACATCTCAATAAGAATTTCTGACAAAAATGTAATTCTTCCTCAAAAGGGCACAAAGAGGTTACAATGTTCTCTTATATAAAAAAAATCTAACCACTTTAGCTCAAAATAAGGAAGAATTTGTAAAGTTTCCTGTTTTGTTCTTTATAGATCATTAGCTCAAAGGACATGATCTAATTCTACAGATGAATCTGTACGGACGTTAGAAAACCACTGATGGAAACATAAAACTTGTACATTCTTTTAAAACTGAAGGTAGATCACAACAACAGACTCAATCTGTTTATAGCCAGTCATATCAATACTACTAGTGACTGGGAAGGAATTACTAAAAGAGGTGAAATTATTTAACAAATACTTTGTTAAATCACATTCTGAACCTACAGATGTCAATTTCAGGTGCTTATTTTTTAACTAAGGAGAATTAAAACAATAAAAATTTCCTTAAAGCAAATAAATAACATTTTTATTAGCTCAGAATTAGTCTACTTATTCTGATAGTTCAGAGACGTAAAATAGGTAGCTTTGAGTACAGAACAGGATGGCGCTACAATGGGCAAATAAGTTGCTTCCAGACAGACTTGTCTAAGAGAAGGCCATGTGAAATAAGCTTTTACAGACACTGTTCTGATGACAGGATGCATGTATAACAATGCTGGCAGTTTTATCAGTGCAGTTTTAAGGTTAAAGAAATGACTTTGCTTTCGTAATCTGTTTCCAGTTAGACAAAACAAACAAAAACCACCCTACATAGTAAACTTGACCAGCATGTATTTTTGAAAGGTTCAGACGTCAGGGATCTGCAATAAAGCACAGAAAGTTAGTACTGGCAGCCTCATGCAGTTTTGAAGGCAAATGTCCCTAAATCCTCTAACACTGGTATACGATCTTCTTCAAAAAGCCCTATTACCAACTAAAAAGAATTCATATAGAGGGTGGGAATGAGACTGAAGACGAAGAGAACCTTTTAGATAAAACTGTGTAAAGAGAAAGTCTTGATACGTAATTATGAGATGTCTAAGGCATTTTAAGACTTATGTGAGTTAATGAAATTGGACCACATCTAATACTGAATCTTTGTGAAGGTTTTCTTTTACCAACTTATTTTTAAATGGACTACAAAAAAAAAGGGCCTAACAGTAGACTTTTGAGAATTAAGAAAGCAAAAAGTAGTTCCAACATAAAATTACCATTGCCTTCCTCATCCTGTAACCAATAAAAATTCCTTTGTAACAACTATAATTACATGGAAAATCTCCGAATAGAAAAATGGTATGTCCCCAAATACTCACTTAACTTCAAGCATGTGTTTAATATCCAAACTGCTTTCAAAAAATTAACAATGCCAGATAATTTTCTGTAAGAAAATCTCCCTAGTTTTAACTGGGTGGCCCATCAGATGGTAGAATGATGGGACAGTGATAGACAGCTCCTAGTCCAGTGGTGAGTGTTGAGAACACAAACTTCTCCAGGTGGGGATTTGGGATATCTTTAAGTCTCTTAATACTTTACATTGTCAAGTATCTTTTGATGTATTTCTAACTGAAAAAAAATTATTCAAACAAGTACAGAGCATTACGGTACAAAGTGTCTTATTCCCAGTACAAAGTTACTGGGAATAGAAAAAAAAGACAAATTCTTTGCTTATCAAGCTTAACAATTTACAAATAAGCAATATAATTTGTGATAAGAGTCATAAATTGGGTTTAGGTAATACACAGAAATAAAAGAGAAAACAAAAGGTTTTGTAAAAGATAGGTATTTGAGCTGAACCTGAAGATGCAGGCTTCCTCAAGATGGAAGGAATCACTCTATCATTCTTAGAAGATCGAGCTGAAGGTACGAATACAAGGTGGGACAGCATGGGATATATTTGGAGAATCATCAGCTTGTCTAGAGACAAATACATAGCATAAAGATAAGGTAATGGGTGGTCACACTGAGGCATCACAGAAATCCAACTGAGCTTAGAAAAGTATCTCAACCTCAG